TTAATTATCCAAACTAGAAGCATGGGATTCAACTAAGAGGAATGAGAAACATGGGAGTCTCAATGCCATCTCTCTCTCTCTCTCTCTCTCTCTCTCTCTCTCTCTCTCTCTCTCTCTCTTTATTTTCCTCTTCTTTTCATCAACTAAGCTGTTTCTATCTTAGCTTTTTCATATTTCTCTCATTCAACTTCTTTTATTTAATATTATGTTACCTACCAATTGCATATTTACACAAATATAAGGATAGCACACCTGCTATGAACTAAAACTCTGCTAAGCAAGATAAATACCATCCCTGTCATTGGGATGTCAACCAGCTAATGGTTGATGGATGCTGAACAAATAATTACAAAGGTAGTTAATTGCAGTTAGTGTAATTGCTATGAAGAAACAGGCGGGATGGCACATCAATGTATAAATTAGGACCTAATCTCATCTACATGTTTGGAGAAGGTCCCCTGGTAGGAGTGAAAAGGAGAATAAATTAGGTTTGTCAGGGAGTGGGAAAGACAAAGGGGAAAGAGGCCCTTTCACAAAGTTAGAACAAGATGTTTTTCTTGGCCATGCTATTATTGAAACTTTTATTACAATATCCTGACTAGTCTCTTGAATCTTGAGATTTATTTTATCCCATCTCACAGTAACTCTTGCAACCAAAGTCTGATTATATCTGTGTAAATTAGTGTCCTCCTTACTGCTTAGCCTGGCATCTGTCTCTGAGTAGGTGTTACAACAAATATAAAAATATTTTATTGCTTAGGGATCTGACATTTGCTTACCAATCCAATCTCATCTACCAGGAATTTCTCCTTGAACTTTACATTCCAGTTATAACAGAACGCTTGTAGCTCCACAGCACACCATGTGCCCCTGTGCTGCCTTTTCATCTCTGCTTGTTTGTGCTTTCCATCTCGAATTCCCACACCCCCATTTCTTCATTTTTCTTCCCCTATTTCATGCAATCTTTCAATCCCGGATCAAATGGCTCCTGTTCTGTAAAATTTCTTTGATGTATACTTACTCTATACATCAGTTACAAAATATATGTATTCTATTTTAGCAACAACAACAACAAAAAAAAACCATTGTAATTATAGTCATATTCCTGACTACCCAGTAGATGAAATATTTAAGGTCTGCATCACATTATTTTACTTTGTCATTACTGATTCATCTTGTAATGTCTGTCATACAGTGGATTCTCAATAGTATTTTTGAATAAGTGAGATTCTAATATATAAGAAGAATAGTTTCCTTTTCTAATGAAATTCTGTCTATAGATCATCATGTGGTGGTATTGATATAATTAGGCACTGTTTGCTTCCAATGATTTGAATTTTTTTATAGTTTATTAAAATTTCTCAAATAAAACCCAGAAAGAAGCAGGAAGGGGGAAATACACCTCAGAACATTTAGACATTTTTTCTTTTAATTTTTAAATGGTTATTTTAGGTGTTTCAGAGCTAATAAATTCAATATAACTATCTCACAAAATAAAAGGGGGAAATAAGCATTTACATAGACCACAAGTAGCTTATTTTGGTTTCTGTGGATCACTATTAATTAAGCTAAAATTAAAAAAAAATATTCTTGGCAAAAACAAAGCCTCTTTTAAAGTTTCTCTAGGGGGAACCGAGTTTGTATGAGATAAGCCATGCTTTCAGAGCCCTGATTGGAAAGAGCCCCAAGGGAGCACCTAATCTGCAGCTCTGCCTCTGTAAGGGACGGGGCTCACCCTCCTCAGACAGCTGGTTGTCCATTCCACTAAAGGATTTTCAGATTGACGTGTGCACAGGCATAAATGGGAGAATTAATACAAAATCAAAAGAGCAAGGGGGCTGAATTCAGACTCAAATTAGCATATTAACTCCTCATTCCTGTTACCCAGGGGAAAAATCTGGTTCCTCCAGTCAAAGTTTTGATTTACAGACACAGTACTGTATGCTGGAATTTCATTATCCCCCTTCAAAATAACACCATAATACAGCTTAGTGAAGCAGCTGGACTCATGAGCTCTAGGGAGCTGTTCAAGATGGCAGATAGCCACTAAAGCTGCTTGGATGGAAACTTCAAAATTTGGCAAGACTGTGCTCAGATACCAAGTTTTGAAATGACTCACCACAGCAATGCAACAGTCAGTATCTGTGTTAATAATCATTCTAAAATTTTAAAAAAAAATGATTTGCTGAAGCAACTGCATTTGCTTGTGCATCTTTTTGCTTAAGACCTGTAACCAGGAGTTTCCACATGGAAGAAAAAGAAAAGAGTATCTCCTTGTCACCAGTCCAGCTTGACAAGTTCTATCTGAGCCAAGACAGTTTTAGCTCAGAACAAAATAAGCTTTTTGCACCTGCTAGAGCTTAATTTGTTTGTCATCTTCTTTATAAGAAACAAAAGTCCCTTCGGTGTGCTGATAATTAAAAACAAATGGAATCCACCAGTTGGAATGGCCCTGATGTTGGCATTGGAGTTAGCATTGCTCTCCTGTTCCTATGCTTGTCCAGACTCTGACCTTTCCCTGACCAGAACATTCAGCTCAACTCAACTTTGAAGTGTGTCTCTCACCCTCCCCTCATGGCTTCTCTCCAGCTCTCTCCAAGCTGTGCTCTGTGCTTTTGCTTTTGATCCTAGCAGCTGACAAGCAGACTTAGGTCTTTTCTCAAGTGTATCAGAGCTCACAGTACCTCTGACCTTGAGGTTTTTATTGGGTAAAAAACTCCATAGATGCCAAACAGCAGGGAGCAGTTGTCAGAGTTCTTTGTTATTGTCTATCTGTTCTTACTTCAAAAATCAAACATTTTGGTGTTAAAACTGTTAAGCTACTGATCTGTGTAGACTACTACATTCTCCAACTGATGGGGAGCAAATAAATTCCACCAAAATTCCGAAGCTTATACCTGACTCCAGAGCAGGTCACTGTGTAAGACTAATTTGACCATGCACACAGAAATAAATCATCTAACCAATTAGGCATTAGACTTTTTAAAAAATATTTCTTTGTTAAGTTTTAGGTGGACACAATATCCGTATTTTACATTTATGTGGTGCTGAGAATCAAACCAAGTGCCTCTTGCATGCTAGGCAAACACTCTACCACTGATTCACAACCCCAGACCAAGACTTTTTTTTATTATGAAAATACAGAGGAACATGAATGGTTAACTGGACTAGAATTTATTGATTTTTGTTTTAGTTAATTTCTCTATATTTCAGATTTCCAGTGCTTTGTTATGGGAGGCACTAGCAATTGATAAATTTTAAATAGGTGATCATTTCAGACAGCATCATAAAATTCATACATATTTATGTTTTGATTCCTCAGTTTTTAACAATAGAACATAAAACACATTCATTTTTTAACACTTAAAGTGTTTCTTTAAAAGAAACAAATTGTTTTAACCTAAATTAAACAAAAATGGCCAAATATACTCTAATTTAGAGTATATATCTCTCTGTGTGTGGTTAAGTTTTCCATCTAAAGAATTTTAATTCTGTACTAAGGCAAAATAATCTGTACACTTTTTAAAAGATAATGATAAACATAATAGGAAAGGGAAGGGCTCTTAAATAGAAAAACTTCAAAAAATTGCATTATCTATTTTTTTCAAGAAAGAAATTATTACTTGAGTTTTAACAAATGAACACAATTTTAGAGTTGGTAGGAATATAAGAGAGCAACTAGCCTGAACTTCTTTGTCCAGGATAAGAATCTAGACCAGAGCAGAAAAGAATACAACTATCTGATGGCTCCCCACAAAATTGATGCTTAGTCACTCCAGATTCTATGCAAATTATAAACTTATTCTATGAGCCAAAGTGTGCTGATTAGATTCTGCAAGCATGTTATCAACAATCTACCCTTAAGTAGTGTGCACACTTCTTTTTCATAATAAAATTTCTTTTATTTTTGTATTAAAGTGGAAGACTTGGAAAATTAACTAAAATTAAAATTTTATCTGATACATATGTTTTAAACCATACAACAGAATTTTTAAAATTCTAAAACATCAATTTTATTCTCAAATCTGACTTAATTGTATGGAGATTTACCTGGGGGCTCCATAGCCATAGTAAGACCTGTAA